CACCACTCCACCCTTATTTTCCATTTTAATTTGTGTATTTTTTTAATATACCAAATGCAGTTACACCCAGAGTCTTGTCGTCTATATTGCCTAAATCTAAGTTAAAACATGAATTGCCTGAGTGGGTGTGCATGTTACCACTCTTTCAAATACACCAAAGAAGAGAAATGTATTTTCATCCAAATCCCAGATCCATGAGGGTTCAACAATAAACACAAAATTATTTTTTTCAGTGCAGCTATTATACAATACTGGAGGGAAAAGAATCTGTATTGCCCACACTGCTGGGAGTCTCTTTATTCCATCTCCAAAAGGCCTGGACCACCTGACAAGGTAGTATTCGGTGGCTTCAGTACAGTAGGTAAATCATTGGAACTACAGTATACCAGAGTTCATCAATGAAAACTCAGTGCAGAGTTTGTGTAGTTACTCCTTGTTAATCTCCTGTTTGTTGTGTGACCCCAATGCAGGATCATCTACTATCCATTGCTTAGTATACTTAGACCGGAGAAGAAATCTACTGAAAGTTTTGGCTCATTCCAGTTTTACACACATGCATACTGTATATAGGATTGTCTTTTAATGCACCTTTTAAGCAATGTTGATGTAAAAATTATATGCAGGTGAAGAAATTAAGATCTGGTTAATTCTCTCAGAAAAATGTTACTTTACTTATATTTGACAACATGAACATACTCAAGCAGCAAGGAGACATTTAGGATTGCATACTAATCATTTATTTATCTTATTGACTTTACCAGCATTATTATAAGAATATGTCTTTATGAAACATTCAAAGCCTGACTGTTCAGTAGCAAATTTACAGAATATGAAATGGAATTTAATTTTATTGGAAAGCGTTTTCTGTACAGTTTTGCTGGTCACTGTTATTTCCTGATTCCTTGTTATTTATTTTTGTAGCATTAAGTATTTGTATTAATATACAATTAAGTATGGATGAGGGAAAACTGGTAAGCTTTTGTTTTTACAGTACAAATCATGACATTGAAAGCAGCTATATTTGAACTCACTTCACATTTGAAAAAAAGAAAAATGCAGATTAATTAAGACCAACATTTTTAAACTACTGCCGGGGTGTTTTGTAATATCTATAATATGGCTGTATACAGAAGTGATTGTCAAATTCATTTAACATCAACAAAGGGATGTCTCTTAAAATTTTGATTGTCTTCTGAATTTCATGAAGGCAGAATAATCTATATTATCAAACAAACTTGCTTCATTATATCTGTAATATGGTAAGGTTTTGCAATGATATTAATTTCTATATAATTATTCAGTACTATTGGCTATGTGTTCCAGAAATATTGCCCACTGGGCAACAATGCCCTAAACACATGTTTTTTACATACTGTAAAATTGACTGATTTGTTCTTAGCCTAGATTTAGATCCAAATTGATAAGGGTTTACTATGGCAATTTACCAAGGAGCAGCTATGTCAGGGAGTGCTGAATAGTTTCAGTAATATAATATGTTTTTAGGACAATCTACTGTATGTGTGTCATTTGTCATGGCCACTACTGGAAGATTATTTAACATTATTGAGCTATTGTTTGAACTTTGGGTAGTGATGGACATTAATGATGCACACTTCAGTTTTTCAAATTAGTTGCACAGTGGATCTGCCAATCACCCAATAAACTGATTTATCTGACTATCTGACATCATAACTCAATGCTAGATTGTGAATTTATACATCTCAGAATGTATGCACCATTTCCAAAAAGGAACATTTCTGAGATTAATGTCTTTTGGTATTGAATATAGTTGTTCATCCTAATGCAGGTGAACAATACAGAAAGAGCTCAAATGCTATAGTGTTGACATATTTATTATTATCTTAACTAACAATGCAATTTTTCCTTGCTCTTTGTTAGGCTTGAGTTGTCCAGAATTTATTTTGGATGCAAAAAAATCAGTAATGTTTTCTAGTTAAAGATTTCAGCAGAACACACAAAGTCTTCGTGACATCAATTTCTGCACTGGCTTTTGAAGAGATTAGATTTCATTGACTTGATGGGCTGTTGTGTCTGTTACTGAAAGAAGATGGACTTGAGCACTAAAGGGATTTAATGAGAGAAAGGATTAAGTCACTGCCAGCTCCCCACCTGCAATTCAGCATGATTGAAGAAAAACTATTCCCAATTGTATCACGTATTGCTAATGCAAACTTGTGACTTGGCTAGACTTTCACAGGCCATAGAGAATTCACAAGCTCATATGATGATGTGTTTCAGTGCGACAAGAGAGCTTTTCAGATTATCTGTTATCCAGAGTTTAGGAATGACTGTGAACCTGTGTTGAAAATGTATCAGAATTTTATGCTGTGTCTGAAACCATATGAGTACAAACTAGCAACTAGATCAGAGTGCCTATAAGGGCATGGATTCAACTTGTGTAGTTCAATCACATGTTCAGACGAGATGCAGAAAATGAAGCAATGTATTATATTGGCTGCACCAGAAAGGGCAGCATGATAACATGGCAGTGAGGGCCTCTGCCTCTCAGTTCTAGGGTACTGGGATGGCCCTCCTTCTGTATGGAGTTTGCATGTTCTAACCACATTCGCATGGGATTCCATGCTAAATAAAAAAAGGAACTATAGACTATGAGGCAATACTATAAAAATAATTATAATTACTTACTGTAAATCATTATTACTTCCTTAATCATTGGTCTTGCATTGTTTAAGGTTGACATTTCTATTTCCTTTTGACAACCTTTTTCTGCATCACTGTATTTCATAGGCATTTGTCATTGAACATGGTATTTATTTCCTTGAATGACATGAAAATACACAAGGTTCATCCTGTTCTTGTTTTGGCATAATGTCTGGCCTTGTGACATGTACTGTTTACTGTAATAAAATGTTTAACAACTGATACACTATAAGAATAAATATTCCTATTCCAAAATTAATAAATTCTGCTTTAAAATGTAAATGTTACAGTTAAACACATAAAGAAGTTTTAGGTAGAGTTACGTGATCGATGCTGGACAGGAACTATAGTTTCAAACCTGAGTCTTTCTAACTCCCGGTCTGTCCATATTTGCACTCCCAGTGGACTGGTTTTAAACTGCCCAGATGTTTAAAGACCCTTCATCCCCTCCCCCTTTCCTGGTTATTACCTCAAGGCTGGACTCTTTCAGAATTGTCCAGTTCAGATACTGTGACTGGTTGTGCTTGTTTTTAGAGGCCCAGTGTAAATAGAGGTAAAATTTCAAGCAGCTGAGATGAAGACGCCCAAGTCAGCACATATGCATTTGGAAAGATTCACAGAGGCAAAGCAAAGCTAAAGTCTTAGGAAAATGTGCTACAGAACTACAGAAAAAAGGCAGCTCAAATTCTGTTTTTATGACAGCTGTCTTAAAAGGCTTTCAGAACAGGTCATTGTTACTAGAATCCTAAATTTATTAATCACATGAGTATAATAAACAATAAATTAGATATACATACTTTATGTGTGCTTAACCATGAACTAGAAAGGAAAGACTAGCAAGCTACTAAATGGCATTTTATAGCAGTAGGACTCTGAATACTAAGTATCACAAGTAATTCTGCATGTGTTTAACGTCGGGGTAAGCATTTACAGCTGACAGTCTGCAGAGTGCGTACAGGAATGGGTAATTATAAATGTTACTCTCTGGAGAGCAAGTCCTTCAGGCAGTAATAATTCTGTTTTGCATCTCTGATTTTATTTCAGGAATCTTTCCAAAGTTTTGGCTGCAGCAGTTTCATTAAACTTTCTGAAGAAACACTATGCATTTAGTATTCAACAATCACAATTACGTTACGTAAACATAATACATACTAAATACTTATTTACATATTGTTTGCGCGGCTCAGGTTAAAATCCCTAACGCGCCCTATGGTTATTGTGTAATATCAGGAAACATACTGAAACTACTTTAACATGATAAATATTGATGAATTTGCACAAGGAAGAGAATAAAGTCCTTTTCTTGAAGCAATTCTATTAAAGTAAAACAATTCAAGTGTAAACAAATTAATGTTTTTCAAAGGTGATCATTTGATTCCTTCTTTGGTTATACCATTGTTTATGTTGTGGACTTATTTTTCCTTAAAATACGTTTTATTTCACATCTAACATCACCACTCACACCTTGCTGATCTGCTATGTAATATTCCGTACATACAGTAAAACTGTTCACCTTCAAGTGTACCTGTTCATATATACATCATTGCATTATTTTCACTAACATAATATTTAATATTTAAAGCGGTGGACCCTTGTTAAGAGATCCTTATCTTGAAAAATCTCCCCTGGAAAAAACATTTTTCTATACTGTTACACAAAAACCCAAACACCATTCATATTTTTGTGAAATAACGACTGTATATATTGACTTGGCAGTCGGTTCGTTTTTCTTTAAAATAATATACGATTTGGGTCTTGTGACGCAAAAAACTCTGTATGATTCATGTTTAGCTATACTCAGTAGGTATTAGTGAAATAAGTTTAATACATTTTTAACACCCTGCCTTGGGGTAGGCATTGTGTAATTATCAAATTGAGAACATTGTGTCGAACAGCCCTGTTTGGACATTAGCATATGCATGACAGATACTCGTTGTTGAGTTGGGATATTATTTTTCCATTTTATTAAAGCAATCTTAGAAAACTAAATTGCTCAAGAGAACTACCTCATATGGGACTTAATCTATAACTACAGTACTAAGTTTTAAAATTAGCGCGATAATTATGTACCCCCCCCCCCCCATTTGATATTGTCTAATTGTCTAATATCGTCACAATATATTTTCTTAGTGACAAAAAAAAACACCTGAGGCAATATCTATGAAATCCCACTCCCTTGATTTTCAGGTAGTTACATTTTTTTCTTCTCACACAAGCAAATGCTCAAAAACAAATACAAAAAAAGTTCTGATATACTGTATATGTTTATACTTCAACACGTCCCTAAAATTTAAAAAAGTGAAATGTTCACAATCGACGATTGCAAAATCTACAAAATTATGTAAATAGCATTAAAGCAAAAAAAAAGTGTGTTTTTAAAGAAAAAAAAGGAACGCCAAGCGAACGGGACTGCAGATGTTCCCAGCACCGCGAATGCCAGACGGGGTCAGTCCTCTCCAAGGGCTCGCGGTTGCAGTCCTGGCTCGGCCGCGCTGATGATATGAGGGGGCTGGCCCGGCGGTTACCTTAGAAACAAGTGAGGACCCGCCTTCTGGAAGGCGCTTGAAAATAAAAGTCGAGGCAGCAGCGACTTTCGCATCTCTTTCGGGTTCTGTCTGAGTGCGGTGACTGGATTGTAGAAGGAAGTCTTTTTTTATTCCCAGGACCAGATTAATTTACCTTCCAAGAAGAAATCGGAACAATGTGCGGTAAGTGGGCCGAAAAGGAGGTTGACACAGCACTCCTTACACTTCCACGTTTCGGCGACTGACGCTTTTCACTATGTCGTACCTTTCTCCTACCCAGATAATCACTGTTCGGATTTTTAAATTGTCAAAAGATTGGCGGAATCACGACCTTTATGTCACAATTTGATTTGATGTTCTGTTTCTTAAATACTATTTCTTTGAGGTGAATCAAAGTCGCGTTTCATGTAGGGTACAAGTTCTTAAATACATTTGGACTATTCTGATTAATCCAAAAACGTTTAACTGTGGCAGAAACTGCCCTCTTTGTACATTGCAGGTGAAGTTGGTAACATACAGTTATACGACTGAAGAATGGTCATATGTTAAATTATCAATTTTTGAGCTCCGGGAAAATATTGAAACTCCTCTGTGTCGAAGGTTTCCTTTCGCTATAGCACATACTGATATTGTGGCATGTCCTTTTGATCCCGGTGTAGGTGTAATTAGCTGATACCAGGACTTGTATCTTGTGGCAGTTGTGGCGAACTAAAGGCTAAAGATCTGCGTAGGTTACGTGTCAAACGTTTTTCAGGCAACTCGAAAGCGACTCGTATTGACACTACGATCGGTTGGGTATAGAAATAAAAGACGACTTTCACATCTATTTTTTGTTAAAGATAAAGAGTAAATCTCTAGAACTCACTCGATACTGACGATTGCAGCCGAGGCAATAACTGCGGGCTGAGCTGGACAAGACATGGTTGTCAATCTGCCAGCAAACTGATAATTTCAATATGCAGTTTATGCTGTTAGAACAGTAAATTTACAGTACACAGACAGGAGGGTAATAGGATGTATGTCCGGCTCTACGTCCGCATTTCAATACAGGTCCGCGTTCACGTCTTGTTCGGGTGCGGCATTTCGTGCTTTTCACCTACATTTTTTGGCATTCAAGTGACATTTTTCAAAATAAGCCGCTGTTGATGTAATTTTTAATGTAGAAAACGACGTTCTCTTCTAACACGTATTTAAAGAGGCAGGCTAGATTCATTTCTCATGCAGCAAGCGAAGTTAATGGGGAATTGACAAAAGTGTTCCTTTTATGTTAAATCATTACTTTTTCTTAGTTGACTCGGACAGTGATGAGCTTGTCGCCCTGATGCTCCGAGTTCAGGTACTTGAAACACTGCTTGGACTATGCCAGCAGTAGCTTGCAACAGCAGCCCAGAGGTACACAGTCCAGCCTGGTTGTTCTCCTGGGCAGAACATAAACACGGTTCTTCAGCACGTGCCCGGCTACACTAGCTACAGAGTGCATGGGGCTGGCATATAACAAACCGATTCATAATCTGTGGTCCGGTTTTAAGATCACTACGAGACCTTGGTCGTAATTATGTTCACGGTCCACTCTCAAGTAGTAATACATAAAACCAACATTCCGATGTCAATTGTGGATGAAGAGCGACATAGGAGTGGTGACTACTGAGCCTTTTTTGTGGGATACATTTTGAGATTACTATGACCGGAAAAAAATACTGTGCATACTTAAGATCATTGTCATGTTTCCCTGTTTTTGCTGTATGTGCATATTAGGTCCTTAAACTTAATTTTGTGAACGATACCACTAAAGTTGCATTAAGAATTATTAATAATTCAGAAATTACAGAACTACATGCCCAGTAGGTGCTTGTCCCGTCTGTGTTGCTAAATCTTTTTTTTTGCTGGTGTCTTGAATGGTGTTCGGGAACTTGTTGGAATGGAACAGCCTTACGGGAGTAGCACAGTTCTGTAATGTGTACGAGGACCAGGATGGGGCTGGACTAGGTCACTTGTTGTCAAAAAGAGGGTACAAAATAATGCAGGAGGCTTGCTAACTTACCATTTTTTGTTTCCTCATCTTTTACAGCGACAGGAAACAAATAGTAAAAGAGGAGCCAATATATATATAAAACTTTAATGCTAATTCTTTGGCCTCACTTTCTCGCAGCTTAAAAGGGCGTGATGGTGAATTTTTATGGTGCTTTTCCATAAAATTCAAAACGGTTGAGTATTTATGCAAGTCCGGATATGTATGAATACTCCGTGTACTTGAAGATCTATAAAGTTTGAAAATCTAGGACTGGAGTACCCAGAGAGGCCACAAAGCTTTAAATATTCAATGTGCTAGCCACGTGTGTACGACTGGAGCTCTGTAATGGTGTGCATCATTCTCTGCTATGTATACTATGGAGTGACTATATAAATATGCTGAGGAATTATGTCATGTAATCACTTGGTGATGTAGTAGTACAGTATATAAATTATTTGTGCCATTTTCTTGTACTTATCAGGCCTTATCATCACATCACTAGAAAAATACATGAAATAGGAAAGTGTTTCAAGAAATGGAATAAAATAGCTTTGTTGAGCTCTATTAAACAAATATTTTTTTTGGTAGTCTGTTCATATAAAAGTTATTGTTTGGCACACTTCTCTAGTGAATCTATTTGTCCTATTAGTCTTAGCTGTGGTTGTAGTATAAAACATTTGTTTATTTAAGAGAGGTTTAAAGTGAGATGAGGTATTTTGGTCAATCTAGACCAGTATTAATTTTAGGAATATGCCTTCAACCTTGGATTTTAAATTCCTTAAAAACTAAAAGCTATTTTTGTAGCACTAAATACTTTTTTTGCAGCAAACTGCTATTTTCATCATTCAGTGCTGAATTTTAAACAGGCCTGGTTAAAGGTCCTCGTTGCGAAATAGAATCCCCTGATGTTTTTTATTCACCAAGGCCAGTTTTCTGTGCTACATCTACAGTGCAATCATCTTTGAGATCACAAAATCTCAGAAATATTTTTGAGAAATTGGACAGTAAATCACTTCTGCTGTAATGTAAGTGTAGTGCATGTTTTTGAGGACATACAAAGTGGGCTTTAGTGCAGTTACTGTTTTACAATGTAAATGCAGTGCTTAATGGGATATTATAAAAAAAACAGGATGTCAGATCACTTAGTTCCAAGTGCAGCAAGAATTAAGAACATTTGTATAAATGGAGTGTCAAGGCAGCCTTTTCTTTTGCTGTGCTGCACAATTCGCACATTTTGTAATATTTAAAATTCTCTTTTCTACCAGCTTAGTGCCAGCAGTTTAAAAGAACACCTAGGCTTTAACTAGAGGATTTAACTCCTTTAAATCAATCTTTTCTGCAAATCATTGCTAAATTTTATTTATAAAATGGAAAAAGGGTACAGAACAAAAATAGCGAACATCTACTGTTTCATGTTTTTCAAAATGTGTATTATGAAATTTTGATGTTGCCAATAAAACAGAAAACTAAAATATTAAAGAGGATAATTCAGGTGAGAAGTGTATTATAAAAAATGTAGACTTTATAGAAATACTGCTGTTGTTGTTTCTGTGCAATAATGGATATGCAGGAAAAGTGATCTTTCCTCAATGTTTTCTGCAGGGATATTTGCCTACCTGAATCATAGGGTGACGCGGACAAGGAAGGAGATCTTTGAGACACTAGTGAAAGGATTGCAGAGGCTGGAATACAGGGGGTATGATTCTGCAGGTACAACTCTTCTATGTCCTCTTTCCCTTCCATGACTTTGTTTCAAGTGTTTCATGCTTTGGCGTTAAATCCTTGTTTCTGAAGGCTCGTAGGTGGGAGTATAAATCCTTTCACCTGAAAAGCATTTACACAGTACCTGTACACAGTGCCAGGTGTGCGGAGACCTGTGATACTAGCTGTAGATTGCATAGCCTGAGTACTTTCCATCCCCCCAGTGTGAGAAGCTACAATTTTAATTCATCATTCATAACCACTTCATCCAGTTCAGGGTCATGGGAATTCTTGACAGGCAACAGGTGTAAGGTAAGATACACCATGGATGGGATGCCAGCCCATTGCAGGGCAGATACAAAGACATGCACTCACTCACAGCAGAGTCACTTTCCTAGAAGCCCGTTGGAGGAAACCGGAGCACTGGAGGAAACCCACTCAAACATGGAAAGAACCCACAAACTCCACACAGACAGCACCCCAGGTCCAGAATTAAACCCAGGGCCCCAACACTGCGAGGCAGCAAAGTTAACCACTGTTCCACCATGCCTTCCCATAATGTTTTTTATGTTATATATACACATTATCCTCCTGTACAATTGTGTGCATGTGTAATTTTTATATGCAAATATAAGTACAAAATTAGATTATGTGGGTGTTTATAAGATGGGGTCAAGAAAAAGTTTGGTATGTTAACTGAATTTTGAACACTAGTTCATTTTCTGTCCGTAATGTGCACTACTGCAGAAAGGCCTTACTTGGCCTTTTGACTGCTCTTCAATGTCATCAATCTCTTTAAAACAAACAGGTTTTTGTGTGTTTGCCTAGTGTGTTAATACACATAAATACAAGGCTATTGACTTTATGAAATCCCCCAAAAATGTACTGCCCTAAAATAAGCAATAAAATATTTTGATAAAATATACTGCCCTGTCATTAGCAGGTATCTAAATACAGTAGAACAATAAAATGAAAATAATCTCCACTTTAGGAGCTATTCACAAAGAGTAGTTAGTAATTTTTACAATTTATTGATATTAACTTTATGCATTACTAATATGATCCCTACAATATTGCTTCTGACTCACTAAAGACTTGCTATACTTCTTGTGATCGTCAGGGATTGCTGTGGATGGTCCATACAAAGACATGAAGGATGGCCACATCTGTCTCATCAAACAAAGAGGGAAAGTAAAAGCCCTGGATGAAGAACTATACAGTAAGTTTATTTGTGTATTTTTGTCTTTTACATACAGTTAAAGCTATTTACCTGTTTATAATTGAAATGATACCCAGTGCAATATTTAGCTAAGGAAATTTATATTCACTCTCTGCCAAGCTACCTGACAAAAGCTGCATTATGGGAAAAGTTTAAATGTGGCATGTCTGTATACGGTGGCAGCTTTGAGCCGTTCATATGCAAAACTATGTAATATCTATAAAAACTAAAATTTTTAAAATTTCTAAAATCCTTAATTTTATAGTCAAAACTGCCACTGAAAAATCTATTTTAGATGATATCTGAACATTTTCTTTGCATACCAGTTTTCAAACACCCTCAGTAGGTCATTGTGTTTTTTGGTTGCTTTATTTGTTGATGGGGGAAATATGTGTCTAAATAACCCAGCAAATAGTTTTTTATTGTGTAGTGGGGAAAAAAGAACAGCTCTAACTGTGGAAAGTTTGTCTCTAGAAAATCCTCTTAGAAAAAAGATTTTGCCTTGAAACAGACAACTTCTATCTAGCATTTGACATATTCTGCAGCCTGTCAGCCTGCAGTTTTATGTTATGAGGCTGTGAAATGAGGAAAGAAAATTTGAAATCTAGTCTACATCAGGCCTTGTTTGGAACAGTTCCATTAACAATTAGAAACAAACCTGAAACTGCATATCCCTATGGAACATGAAATGTGGGTCTTTTTTTCCAGAAAAAGACACTATTGACTTTGAAGCTGAACTGGACAACCATTTTGGCATTGCCCACACCCGCTGGGCTACACACGGCGAACCCAGCGCACTCAATAGCCACCCGCACCGATCGGACAAAAACAATGGTAAGTGCCATTTTACTTGATGCGCACACCAGTCTGGAGAATCATGTTCCATGCCTATTTACTGAAAGCACAGTGCTTTAGGAAAGAGGTCTTGAAAGGATTGAAACAGACACTGGCAATATGTGAAGGGGATCAGGAGCTTTTTTTTAAGAATGAGAATTCCAGCTTGCTCAATAGGCAGGGTGGATGCGTGATGAGGTTTAGAATGAAATGAAACCTGTGGAACAGGATTACAGTCTGGCTTCAAAACATTGTATGACTTCAGAGAAAAGAAGCTGACATATCACACCTCCCAATGGTTCGTTTTTTTATTCTTCCAGAATTTGTGGTGATTCACAATGGCATTATTACCAACTACAAGGAACTGAAGAAATACCTGGTAAGATACTGTATGTGTAATATTGTGTAAATGTGTCATACATACAATAAAACGTGGGTCTTTTTGCCAAATAAAATGTTGAATACTGCTAACTTTATAATTTAGCTTTAAAAACATAGACCCCCACATCATCAGATTATTCTGTTAAGCTTTCCCTCAGATGTTTATACAGAAGTATATTTTAGAGAAACATGAACTGAGATCATGAATATGTCTTCATTATTAGGAGTTGTTGTAGTACACTGTTATCCATAAGAAAGAAAAAGTCACTATTTTAAATTCCTACATACAAGATGATAAAAATCAATAGAAAACACGTTGCGAAAAACATGTAAAGGGTCCCTACTGAAAACAAAACAACGGTAGCATAGCTTGACAGTGTTTTTAATAAGGCATGATAGCCATTCAGACTTTCCTGCATCGAGTTTTGTCACAGCTGCATGATTATGTACATCAGGTTCTAAACAAGGTGGATCTGTAGTTTCATTGTGTCACTTTCTGTTCTGTATCATATGTCAGGGGATCAGCCCTGCCTTCTGCTTTTCTTGAGGAGAAGGAGTGGCTTCAGAGCCTGCTTAGGTTTTACAGGAGCATATGATAATGTGGAGGTGGTGTCTTATTGTAATGTGGAGCCAAAATCCTGCTTTTCAGGAGTCAAAGGGATACGAGTTTGAGTCAGAAACGGACACAGAGGTCATTCCCAAGCTCATCAAGTACTTGTACGACAACCGTGAGAGAGATGACATATCCTTCTCAACACTGGTGGAGAGAGTCATTCAGCAGCTGGTGAGTGGGTGAATTGTTAGAGTCTAGATATTGTGTTAGGTGTTGTGACTTTAAATTAAGAATGGACTAGACAAGATTGTTTTGACGTTTCCATTAGTTATGATGAACATCACCAATATAGTTTGAGGAAGAACATCATACTACAACACCATTCTTTGAGAGTCCTGTTAAGAAGTCTACAAAAAGTTACCTTTGGTGAAAGTGTTCTTGGTCTATATATTTTAGTTTTAATCACCAAACCCCATAGACAATTTACAGTGTCGTAATTTTGACCTGATCAGGTCTTATTTCCATCATTTTTGCTTTTTTAACTGTTGTAGTCCCTTTTCTGTTCCAAATAAATTAGCAGAAATAAGTAAATGTGTTAAACTACCATGTGTATCACCGAACAAAATAAGATTTTGATGAGCTATACAGCAACTATCTTCAAAACTGAACATTCAAGCAGAAAAATATTTTTTTCTAAAATGAAATAATTCCTGTTTACAACAAAAGAGTCTTTTGTACGTACTGTCGGAAGGAGCAAAATTGTACAACCAGTACAGTATGGTTGCAAACTGTGTGCAATATTGGGTTTACTGAAGGTCTGGTTTAAAACTGGTGTTTTTAGTTTTTCAGATCTCACGGAGATTTTGTAGTTCTTGACTTTCACCAGTCTGTCTTTAATAAATTGTGGACAAATAGAATGGTTCTAGGGATTGATAATTGAGTTTTCTCAGCTCATTCTGAAGCCAAGTGGACATTTTTTTCATTCATACAGTGTGCAGTACTTTAACTAAGCACTAGTTTTTTCCTATGAGAGACCCTCACATTACACATCTAATCCAAGCGGTGCTTTCTTCATCCAGACAGTGAGATTTAATAACCAGAGCCTTGTAGGGTTAACATTTAAACTAATTATGTGTCTGTGCACTATGGCAGCTGTCATCTCTAGGAAATCATCCTTTTCTCATTTTCCTGACAGCAATGGAGAATAACCATGTCTTTGTCATCTCTGTTGAAGTAAAAGAAAGTATCAATTTGGAAAGGAGTGGAAAATGAAGTGAAAAATCTGGATGATAAGCCTACTGTTTTGAATAAAATATAACCTTTTTTGGTAACCTGGTGATAGCAGGTGTTTCATGTACAGATGTGCACCCTTGAAAAATGTATGAAGAGCTATAGTAATGAGAATACACATCTAATAGTGTTATTCCTTCAATATTATCTTGTTGTACAGTATTTTGTCCTCAGGACCCCTTATCCTTATAGTTAGTAATAGTTACTAACTTAATAGTTAGTAATATTTTATTCATAAAGAGCTATTCTTACCAAATTAGAATTCACAAGGAATGACAGCAGCTGAAGAAACGGTAGAATGGTTTATTGTATTTAGTGAAAACTTTGGATTAACCTGCTTGGCTGAGGGCCAACCTCCTGGCCATAGGACGGGGAGACTAGGATTCCCCATCCCAGTGACAAGGTGACCAAGGTGTAGCTGCAAAGGTGGAGATGGAGGAGCAGTGAGGAAGGGATGTGAAAACGAGCAAGCAAAAGGAGAGGGAGACGTGGTTAATATGGGAACTGAGGCAGTTGCGTTAGGATTAGTTGCAATTTGTGTTAACTGAGCTTAATTAGTTCAGCTGCCTTCACCCTTCTCGAACTTTCATTAAAACTCCATTAAACAAAATAACTTCCAAATGCCAGCACATCAAAAAAGCAAACATATGTTATATAATATTATATATTTTTAATTTACTGTATTTTTCTAGATTATTGCCTTGCTAATTCTTGACAGAAACTGTATTTTTTTTACTTAGGCAAGTTGATTTTCAAAATGGCTTAATAAGTTTATCATACATGTACAAGTAATGTTGCACTTAACTTATCTGAATCTCACTGATTTGAAGGCAATAAATGATTTTTTTTCTGATTGTGTGGCACAACATGGTAAATAATGCCTTAATTTTCAAGGGGGGCTCGCTTTCATTGTAGGCCTTTCGCACACGAATATCGGCAAGGCAAACAAAACAGGATCAGTTGTAGAACCCAATTCTGCAAGTTGAAGCAGGATGTGGAGACAAAGTGTTCCCCAGACAGCATGAAAATTAACACTAATAGTAAATTTTTTGATATGAATGCACTATAGTCTTATAGTGGAATATTCAGCACTTTATCATACAACTGCTAAACATTGCCCACCTTATTTCCTAATTAGTATTAATATTATGTGGCAAGGTTTACTACATTATGTTTTGGAGCTCAGTTTTATAATGATTAAGAACTGTACAATGTTCTAAGCCTAGGGGGTTGTTTTAAGTGTCCCATGACAGTGCCTGCCTTAATCCACTTTTTAGAAGAATGAATTACTGAATTGCACCCCTTTTCTCCCACAAAAGTTCTATTTTAATTTCATTAACATTCAAAATTGTTTAATAATCATGAAAGCAGCATCACTTGGAGTGCATATTTTTCATTTTTGTTGGGCCTGCTGAATGTGTGGGAATTAAGTGTTTACAAAATTAATCTAACAAGTGGAAAATTATAGTATGTTTCCAACATATGATTTTCCAAATTCACTCCAGCTCACAGTGGTATATACCTGCTAGCAGTTGTGGCACACAAGTGTCTGTTACTTGTTAATTGTCGTTAAGTTACCCTGGCAACAGAAACCATCAGAAGATTATTGCTGCAGGCATAAGTTGTGGGTGCAGCAGACCATCTAATTTACCACAATAATTAAAAATTCAGTGGAAAAAATGACACAGAGATGACACAAACATGTAATTTTATTAAAATGCTGTCTTGACCATCTTATATATTGTCATTAAATTATTCGCTGTGAAACGTCAAGCTCCAAGATACTATATCTAATGTGTATTGTTTTATCATAACCTCATTACATTAGTTTTTTTTCATTTTAAAATAATTCTGATATTTTCATTATACCTAAATCAATTTTTCTTAATGTGCAGACTTGTTTAAATCATGTTGTAAGTTCATAAAGGATTAAAGGGTAGATTCTACAGTGTTCATTTAGCTAATTAAAGCCAGATGAAGTGGTGGTTAATTTTTATTTCCCCCTGTTTCTCCAAAATGCTCAGTATATTATCAGAATATGCAGAGAACTGTGTAGATGCCTTACAATAGGGGGTTTATTTCTTCAACTTTTCAGTCTCTTTGCTTCCTTTCACAACTTTACTACCTCCACTGTTACTGAGCTCTCCTTGGCTCTAGTCCCAGAGAAAGTGGTCTGATAGCAGCCCAGAGGAGCCTTGCTCACAGAGGTGGGGGGAGCAGTGCAAGGTTCAGAAAAAGCCCTTTTAATTGTTTTGGATGTTGAGCAACTTTAGTTTTTAAATTAAAATGCTGTTCTGTTCCATTTCCAGGAAGGTGCATTTGCGCTGGTGTTCAAGAGCAGTCGCTTCCCAGATGAAGCTGTTGCCACCAGGTTAGTGCAGCATTTTTTCTTCCTTTTTAAGTTTGATACATGTTGGTATCGCACAGGAATCGGACAGACACATTGACACTATTTCCTGGTGCTGTCAGCCTGACCTGTAACTTTGAGATTGTTTTCATATACTTGGAGTCATTCCCTATTTTTTCTGCACCTGTGCACTCTCTGTTTCTTTCATAGTAAGGAGCAGGAATGCCGTTCCCAACCATTCCTGTTGGTGCCCTTTTGTCAACTAACACAGTTTTGTTTGTGACTTTATGCACTGTGTTTTACCTAAAAAGATATTCTAGAAACACTTTCAGCTTTAAAGATGCATAACTAGGGATGAAATTAGACTTTTTCAAAGGACAGTTAACAAATAAATCTGTTTTGTTTTTTATTACTCTCCCCGAGATTGTCTCAGATGTTACATTGCAATACTGGAATACTGGTTCAATTTTTTTTAAAGTTTGTTTTTTGTGCTTGACATACAAATTCAAAATTATTGTTATACATTCTGCAGCAAGGTTTTGTTAGGTAAAAGAAAACAGCACAAGTTGACAGAAAATAACAAATTTGTTAGTAAAAGTTTGTGGTCTATTCAAGTTATTAAATTTTAATGTGCTTTTTTTTTGCATAGTGCATTGCATGTGTCACCATTTTATTACATTGACTATGGACAGCCTCAGTCAGTTCTATGATGAAATGTATATACTGTATTTGTATGTTATATTAAATTAATTTTAAATGTTTTGTGTGGAACACTATAAGAAATTGAAAAAATTCCAAAGAAGTCCCACTAACCTCTTTCAACTTTGTCATTTCCTTATTCTAAATTGATCTTCTAATTTTAGATTTGGAAGATAATTATTAGCAATAATGTTTTAGGGAAATTAGGTAATTAGATGATTAAAGCAATGTCGTGTTTTTCCCTTAGAAATTGTTCAAGATCATGCTGCATCTTGCTGAATTGTGGCATTCTTGTAAAAAATGTTGGACTTAAAAATAACATAAATCAACCTAAGTTTGAACGTAAGGTCAAAGGTGACAAGGCATTTGGCCAAAGTATTTTCTACTGGCTTGTGCATTTTTTCATTGATTGCAAATTTTCATACTAGTGACCGGTAAATTAAGTTTACATCTGCAGCCTATTCTCTAGCTACCATAAGGAGAATTTTCCAAAGGAAGTTTTGTAAGCCTTTTTGGTTGAAAATTTTATTTTTTGTGAATTTTATAACATCTGTGAATGAAATCACTTTAGCAGTTTTAGTGTGGTACTGTAAATATCCATCCATCCATTTTCTACTCACTTAAGCCAATCGTAGATAGGGTTGCGGGTGAGTTGGAGCCTATCCCAACCAGCAGTGGGTTCAAAGCAAGATACACCCTGGATGGGTTGCCAGTCCATCACAGGTCCATCAGAGATATGCAGTATGCACAGACTCACACCAGAACCTGTTTTCCCAGAAGCCAAATAACAGTCTACAGTCTTTGGACTGTAGGAGGAAACTGGAGCAACTGGAGGAAAAGCACTTGAACATGTGAAGAACATACAAAATCCACACAGCTAGCAGCTCAGATCAGGAATTGAACCCAGGGCCCCACTGCTGCAAGGCAACAATGCTAATTACTGCACCACTATGGCGCCCTGAATACCCTTAATTGAACAATTGTAGAATAATACTATTCTGAATCTTCTTGATTGGTGGTACAATTCTGGATGTCGCACCTTGGAGTTTTAAGACAACAAAGATAATCCCTATCTGTCTTCTAGTAGAGCCAAGTCTGATATAACATCCTCCACTTCCCCTGAGAACTTTTCCTACCTCTGTTGCTCCTTGGAATGATATACTCAGCATACTAGTTTGTATTTGCTATCATTTCCCAACACAGGATTATCAATATTATTATCATTATTATCAATATTATTATCATTATTACTATATTAAAAAAATCAGTTTTATTCTACAGTATTTGTTAAGTTGTGTGTAGGCTGTAATATTGCCTGTTCTTTATAAATTCCCTAAGAAGTCTTAAAGTCAAGTTATACGTAAAGTTACTGTATAAATGTAAACAGTGAAAAAGATAGTAATCAAAAACTTTACTTGAGTTATTCTTTTTTATTCATTTCATTATAATTATTTTTGGCCTGTTTCAATAACATTTGATTGTAGTAGAAGTAATCCTTAAACATCTTATTCTTGGGCGAAAATCTCTTCTGAACAAGTTGAGATGTCAGTGCCTGTGCTGGTGAAGATATAATGCGTGGGCTGGAGTCATGTCTTATTGGGACAGAAGTTAATTTCCTCCTTTCTGTGCCAGTGCGGGGAGCAGTGAATGGGCTCCATTCATGTGCGCTGGCCAGGATCTTGTACAAACATGAGCTCCTGCAGCTGAGGCTCCAAGTGCGCTTGTCGTAGAACGAGGGAGATAATTGTCGTCTTGTCCAAAGATGTTTAAACTGAGTGGGGATAATCATTGAGTGCACAATAGAAATGGGCTGTATAGCACTGAAGAGGCTCATAGTTAACAAAAATCTGTTTCTTCACCTACCCACTGTTTTCATTATCTCCTTCAAGTGGTCCAAACCACAAAAAAACATAAATGAACAATAAAGAAGTGGTTAAGCAGAGAGACCTTTTCATCTGGTGGACACAAACCTATCCTCAACCACATCATGATGTTTCTTTATAAATCTGAATGTAACCTCTCCCACAGAAGGGCTTAACAGTTTGTTTCAGACACAAACCCCCCTTTCTTTGTGCTTCATGCTAGGCCTAATCCCTATATATATTTTTTAAATACAGAAATGACTGTGTTTTCTTAAGAAAGCTGGAAAGGCTTATATCCTTGACCAGTGGCTCATTAGTTGCTGTGTTTCTGCTGGCATTCAGTGATTTTCCTGAGTCATTCTTGATGAGACTGGCCAACAGTTGTTTTCCAGCTCCGACTACCTGAATTCTTGCTTGCTACTGTCTATCGCATAGCTTTTCTTTTTCTTCTGTAGATTTATTTGAAATGACAGAAAAGGTCTACTGCTGCTCTGTTCTTACTCTTAATAACTTTAAAAGCAGTGGGAAAGTAATATATATATAGGAACAAGTAATAGGTTTATTCCATGCTGAAAAGATAAGAAAGAAAACACAACATTCGGCTTCACACATGAATAAGGCTTCACAGATGAAATGTTGTGTTTTCTCTCTTCTCTTTTCAGCATGGAATAAACGTATTACTTGTACCTTTGCAGACTACTCAAGCTGATGCAGCTACTCACCTGAAGTAATATATATATTAATGTCTTACAGAAAGAAGTAAGGTAATTTGATCATTTCACAGCAAACTCTTCTACTGTAGTTTAAAATTAAATTCTAGCTGTAATATGTGCTTTTTCTGACTTTCTCTTTTGAAGATGAAAAAACGGACACAAAGACTTATGTTTTATTTCTTTACTGGAATTTGCAGAGCAAGCATGAATGGCAGTTTCATGAAAGGATGTGGTTTTGTTGGTATCTAAAATGTATGCGGGTGCGTTTTCATGGAGGTTTGGAAGCTGTGCTGTAAATAGTTTCTCTGTTTTGTTTGTACAAATAAAATCGTAACCCTCTTGTCTTCTTTCTTGCAGGAGAGGGAGCCCCCTGTTGATAGGTGTGCGCAGCAAGAATGAGCTGTCCAGTGAACATATCCCCATTCAGTACAATAATGGTACGTTCAGCAATTTCCTACCTGTCCTTTGTTTTCCAACTTGCAGTGTTCCAGGTTCTGACAAACATCTTTTTGTTTTGAAAGAAATTAAAGAAAAAATCACTAATGGCCAAATCAGTTATCACAACATTACAGGAAAAATGTAAATATTGATTCATAAGCTTTGACAGTAGCTGGCAGAAACCCAACTGAAGGTTTAGCGACATTCAGATCATAAGTCACGTTTCCTGTTGGCTACTAGATGCTAAAGAACATTCTGGAATTTCCCTTATTTGAGAGGCCAATATTCAACCTGGGGCTATCTGAGAGTTTAGTCATAACATAGATTCATCCATTACTGAAAATTACTCTGCATACATTTCTTATATGTTTATAAGTATTATATATATAATATATATTTAAGATGCAATAGATTGAGAAACATGTTTAAGGAGAAATTGTCACTTTGTGTAGTTATTTTTGATTTTATGCAGCTAGTGATAGATAGCAAGTTTTCATAAGGCCAAATGCATAAAATGTGTCCAGTAAGTTTTTATAAATTACTAACCCCTGCTTCTATTTTGTTTTCCTGCCCGAACTAGCTACTCTAAACTAATTTCTTCCCTGTAGCTCCCTCAAACTCAGTCCTTAGTGATTGTATTGCAAAAGCACCATTAACATCTGAAAGCCAAGTGGCTGCAATCCCTCTAGGTGTAGAATTTTATTTTTATCCAGGCATTGACCTGCTTTCTGCAGTGATGTGTTTTGGGGGAAAGGGTTGCGCTGCATCACCACATGATCCTAAAAGCGAAGGACTAACCTTTTAACCTCTTTACGACTGTGCTTTTTCTATGCCCCTGATGTCTCGTGGGAGAAGTGATCATCCTGGCAAATGTACTGACTTCTTTGCCACTGTATATCCTCCTGAGTTCCCACCTGGGTTCTGTTACATGTTGAAATTAATAACATTTTTTTTGTTTCCAGAAATAAAGCCATTTAAGTAATTTTAAATTAAACTGTAAATGTAAACTGTTTCTTCTTAAGCTCTTAAAGCACTTTCAAGAAATATAGTTAGTAAAGTTGTCAAATTCATGTTGAATTCAAATTCATGATATCAAAATAGAATGATACTGTAAGTTAAGGGAATTCATGAAGATTTATACTGGTGGGCAAACACCTGGCAGAGGACATTTAAAGACAAAAGTGGATTATATTGTTATAAGACAAAAAGAAAGTTTTTAGAACCTAACTAGAGCATTTTTAATATTTTATGTATCCTTCTGCATCTAGACAATGTAGGAAGGCAGTAAACATAAAAAGAAAAAAAACTGAATATAAGGATATGCTGTTAAAACTAAATTTAAATGAAGAGATTTTATATTCAATATGTGCTTTAGTAAGACCTTATTTACATTGTGTTGGAAACCGTCGGTTTCCATTGTGCAAAAAGATATTGCAGCTGTGTAAGCAGCCCAGAGAGTAGTGACCAGACATATCCCTGGGATCAAAGGAAAGAACCACTCTAACTGTCTGAAAGAACTGAGCCTTTTTAGACCTGAACAAGTAACCTACGAGGAGACCTGAGTTAGATATTCAGAACTCTCAAAGGCATTGACAAAGTCAACCCAATAGGCTTCTTTAGCATGAACATTGAAACATGAGCCAGAGGTCACAAGTGGAAGCTATAGGAAGTACGTTTATAATTAAGAACAGGCGGCACTCATTTACAGACATAGTTGTGGGACTCTGGAACGAGCTATCCAGCCAAGTTGTTGAAGAAAGTTTTTTTTAGGAAAAGGAGAAATGAGATCTTCAAACAGATTAACTACTAGAAAACTAATAAGGGCCAAATGGCCTGCTTTCATTTGTATATTTTTAAGAGAGAGAGATAAGATCACTTTATTGGCCATATACAATTTCTTTTATTAGGAGTCTGTCTTTTTTCACATACCCCAACTTGCTCTCCATGAGACACACGGACAGGAAGAGAAGCTTGGGGTCAGAGCACAGGGTCAGCCATTCATGCAGCGCTCCTGGAGCAGTTGGGGTTAAGGGCCTTTCTCAGGGGCCCAACGGAGTAGGATTCCTCCACTGGCCGCAGGATACGAACCAGCAACCTTCCAGCCACAGGCGCAGATCCTTAGCCACAGAGCCATTGCACTGCCCATGTTTTATAACATCTTCTTTAAAGTAGTATACTGTTAATAATATGTATTTTTCGATAATCTGCAAGAGCATTAACCCTGACCATCTGGCTGTAATTAAATATATCTTTAAAAACAAACAAGGGTTCAATTTGAACTTATTACATTTGAAATTAATTATGTTCTACCTAGTGGTATGTTTAGTAGATTGTCTAACCTTTTTCCTAGAAATTCTGAAGAGACATAATTTGAGATAAATTAGATAAAAGAGATACAGTACACATTTTTAATTTCATGTAAAATTACATGAGATACTTAATACCTTTTTCCATTTGTGTTCTTACTGTATCTTTGACCCTCAAGTTGAAATGGGACCATTTCTTTCACAAGGTAGAATTTTACAAAATCGACATTCAAAAGAAAGCTGATAACAGCATGGGAAAACAAGATTAATTTCTTTCATGCAGTGTTTTCTTCATGTTCCTCAAGAGGTTATTTGATTATTTTTTTCATTTTAGTAGCTCTCATAAAATCGTTTAAATTTGACTGTTTGAAAAATAACGTTTTATTTTGTAGTGGATCCTGGCAAATGCTCTTACTGCTTATATAATAATAATTGCTTACACTTATATAGCGCTTTTCTGGACACTCCGCTCAAAGAGCTTTACAGGTAATGGGGACTCCCCTCCACCACCACCAATGTGCAGCATCCACCTGGATGATGCAACGGCAGCCGTAGTATGCCAGAACGCTCACCACACATCAGCTATCAGTGGGGAGGAGAGCAGATTAATGAAGCCAATTCATAGATGGGGATTATTAGGAGGCCATGATTGGTAAGGGCCAATGGGAAATTTTTCCAGGACGCCGGGGTTACACCCCTACTTTTTATAAGAAACACCCTAGGATTTTTAATGACCACAGAGAAAGAACAGCGCCTGTTTCCAGTACAGTGTCCCCATCACCATACTGGGGCATTAGGACCCACATGGACCACAGGGTGAGCACCCCCTGCTGGCCCCACTAACACCACTTCCAGCAGCAACCCTAGTTTTCCCAGGAGGTCTCCCATCCAGGTACTGACCAGGCTCACACCTGCTTAGCTTCAGTGGGTTGCCAGTTGTGAGTTGCAGGGTGATATGGCTGCTGGCAAGCTATAATATATAATATACAATATATAAAACAATTCATAAAAGTTTGATCTACTTTTCATCTAAAAAATTGTTTAGATGAAACAATTGCTACAATTAAAATGGCTGACAAATCTCTCTTCTGATTTCTATCTTCAGACTTCTGTGTATCAGTGTTTTTCTTCTGAGCCTTGAAGAGATATTTGATCAGGCTGCAGTATATGAAAGATGTATATGAAAATGTGGGAATAACAGCTCAGATTAAGTGCACAAAAATGGAATATAAAATAACTCTTAAGTCATGTAGGCTGTAAAGAACTACTACGGTCTTTTATGTCTGCCAAGGGACCTTAAAGCCTAGGCATTATTTTTTATCGCTAGCAGTTGTGGGTCAAATGAGTCATACTGTATATAAACTTATTTTAATCCTTCAACATTAAGGATCTTGAAAGCATGAAAACCTAATTTAGTTGGTTTTGAATGTTGTGAGTAAAAATGTCACACAATCATTAATGAATTATAGCTGAGATGCAAACTTGCCTGATGTCCTCAAGAAAAAGGCCTTTGAACTATTTATTTAAGCTTCACAGTATGAATATTCTCCACCAGGGTGCTAAGGTGCTTACGCAGTAATTTGGTTGAATCTACAGTATACGAAAAGCTGTGAATTTCTAGCATACAAGAAGTGTAAGCCTCATTATAAAATAACCATTCTAACCACATGCCGATAAGACATGAGAAGGAATTTTAATAATACTGTGCTTTGACCAGAATAATTGATTTTATTTTTCAGTCTCACTTCTTTTTCTGAACACCAAAGACTAGCTTCCCTCCCTCAGTCAACAGGTAGCCTGTAGGTACACATTGTCACTGATATCTGTTGCCCTTTCAGGTCATTTCAAAGAGGACTTAAATGAGAAGAACTACAGGAATAGTGGGCAAGCAGAGAACTCTGACAACTCCGACAACTGTCTGCAATCCACAGGGCACGTGGAACCTGTGGAATACTATTTTGCTTCAGATGCCAGGTGAGTTCAACATAGGCTCAGAAATGTTTAGGACTACAACATTGAGTCAGAGCTGATTTGCCTGAGTTTAAAAGAGGAAGAATCATTTGCAGTTTCTAAATTTATTTTAAATTAAGAATAAAAATGAAAAGACAATATACAACCCTGTAGTTTCCGAATATCTGTTGAATCAGTGCATGCAAAACAGCATTATGATTAATGCTGGTGGATTCTGGTCTACTTTATGTCCACCATGAAACCTAATCTAAAGAGCTTTGCTGGTGTTTGCCTGTTGCTGATTTTTCTCCCTTTCTTACAGCGCTATCATTGAACACACCAACAAGGTTCTTTACCTGGAGGATGATGACATTGCAGCTGTGGTTGAGGGGAAGCTGTCTATCCACCGCATGAAGCGCTCAGCTGGGGAGGATCCAGTCAGGGTCATCCAGACACTGCAGATGGAGCTTCAGCAGATCATGAAAGGTCAGCAGGTCATTCCTATATTTCCTACTTATGTAGCAGAGTGAAGAGTGAAGCAGAGTGAAGGCTTCTAGTTTCCTGGGCTTGGTGGTGTGGTGAAAACTTCCCCTCTTAACTGTGGTAAGGGTTTTTGGTCAGCACTTTATAATGCCCTCTGTGAATGGATTGATCTTAAAGCGCCATTTAACTATATACTGAATGACACAGTAATTAAAATATTTTTGTAAAATTTCTCAAACCGTATATACTATGATAGAAAAATTATTGCTTTTAATATAATTTAATGGGAAATGGACTTGTACAAAAACCAAAGCATTAGCTTGTTTTTAATGATTTGTATTGAGTTAGTTTTAAAAATCTAAATAATGAGCTTAGTCGGGCAGTATGGTGTTGCAGTGGTTAGCATTGCTGCCTTGCAGCACTAGGGTACTGGGTTCAATTCCCGCTCAGGGGTATTGTCTGTGTGGTGTTTGAATGTTCCCTTGTGATGCATGGGATTCCCGCGGGTGCTCTAGTTCCCTCCAACAGACATACTGGACTGTTCATTTGAAAACTGTCCCTGGTGTGAGTATGTTTGTGTCTGTACTGTATGTGTCCTGCGATGAGCTGGCATACCATACGTGGTGTATCTTGCCTTGCTTACATTGCTTGACGGGATTGACCCTGGATTCCCTAATGACTCTGAATTGTGTGAAGTGTGTAAAAGTGGATGGGTGAATAATGGGCTTAGTTGCCTGTATAATTTTGACTTAATACAGACAACAGTTGTGTGTTTTTCCCTTGTTTAATTGCATTTTGTTCATTTGTTGCCAGTGTCTTATTATATTCGATATATTGCATATGACCCTAAATGTTCAAGAGTATGAAGTCGAGATTTAAAAACAGCAGGCTGGGTACAACGGGGTCATGAAAAGTGAAGTTGTAGGGACATGGTTGCCTACATTATAGGTTGACTTAGGCCATTCCATTCTGCCATTCTGCCATTCACCCTGCAACTCACAACTGGCAACCCACTGAAGCTAAGCAGGTGTGAGCCTGGTCAGTACCTGGTCAGTACCTGGATGGGAGACCTCCTGTAAAAAACTCAGGTTACTGCTGGAAGAGGTATTATAGTGGCCAGCGGCTGCTCACCCTGCAGTCTGTGTGGGTCCTAATGCCCCAGTATAGTGATGGGGACACTATACTGTGAACAGGTGCTGTCCTTTGGATGAGATGTAAAAGTGAGGTCCTAACTCTCTGTGGTCATTAAAATCCCAGGGTGTTTCTTGAAAAGAGTAGGAGTGTAACAAATTTTCCATTGGCCCTTACCAATCATGTCCTCCTAATAATCCCCATTTAAGAATTGGCTTCATTACTCTGCTCTCCTCCTCACTGATAGCTGATGTGTGGTGAGTGTTCTGGTGCCTTCACATCAACCAGGTGGATGCTGCACATTGGTAGTGGTGGTGGAGGGGAGTCCCCATTACCTGTAAAGTGCTTTTAGTGGAGTGTCCAGAAAAGTGCTATATAAGTGTTAGAAGTTATTATTATTATTCCAAAAGCTGCTTTCCTGCTATAACCTGCACAGCTGCACAAGCCATTTCCACAGGTTAGGGTTTGCCATCTAAGCCACTTATACTAAAACAAAACCTTTATACCTTTTAAGTCTCTTTTAAGTCTCCAACTTAAAATATGAAAAGGCTGATCATGTTAAATCCTTCCCCTGATCTAGGTAATTTCAAAGCCTTCATGCAAAAAGAAATCTTTGAACAACCCGAGTCAGTTGTCAACACCATGAGAGGGAGAATCTGCTTTGAAACGAACACAGGTAAAAATAGTTTTCTTTCCATATAGTGTTCCATTTCTTCATACCATGTGTAAATGGTTTTAATTTTTTAAATCAAATGTTATTGGTAGAGCAAATCTTAAAAATCAGTAAATAGGAATGACTGAAAAAATGTTCTTAAAGTCCTTCCCTCAACACTGTACTAAAGTATGAGGCACTGTTTTGTCAGATAAATGAATAGTCTTAAATAGCCATTGATAAGTGTGGGTTTTGTATTTCCTGTATTGTAAGGGGGTTGTTTCCAGTGACTTATTTTTTGTACAATACAGAAATATAATTTCATAATCATTCTATAAATGTTGGAGGAGGAGCCCTGTCTGCACTGTTCACTGTCTGTTTTTCCTTAGTTGTTCTGGGAGGCTTGAAGGATCACCTGAAGGAAATCAAAAGGTGTCGACGTCTCATCATGATTGGCTGTGGCACCAGCTTCCATGCTGCAGTGGCAGTAAGTGAAATTGTGTGTAAAGTGTGTAAAGTACTTGAAATCTTTATGTGATCATTAGAGGGATTAAAATTGTGCCCATGAGATTATTGATGCTCTTGGCTTGTCATAATGATATTGCTGAAGTAAGCACATTTGATCTGAAACTCCTTCTCAAAGCTACTTGGGTTTCATGCGTTCCATACTCAGAGTAGCATGAGTAGGTTGAACATGAATTTCTGAATTGGGGCTCTGCAGCATTCAAAGAGAAGCTTGGGCAGACAAGTAAAACATACTATGTTTTCATAAGCCTGTATTTCAGGTGCTACTGGAAAGAGTTGTTTTTAATGATATCCACCCTGGGTGGATATCATTAAACAGTGCAGCCATCAATACATATCAGTAACAGACCATCTTCATATAATTCAGGGGATGTTTTTTTACTGTCAAAATAAGATTTGTGTTTGTTACTACTATTTATGTGGACATTTTCCTAAGAATTTATTTAAGGCTCGTTTTATTAACAACCGAGTTCTACTGTAAACCTGCACTCTTCTCCTTGACACAGACTCGACAGATCCTGGAGGAGCTGACTGAGCTGCCGGTCATGGTGGAGCTGGCTAGTGACTTCCTGGACAGGAACACTCCAGTCTTCAGAGACGATGTCTGCTTCTTCATCAGCCAGTCAGGTACCTTGCATTTCACACAGAGATGCCTACCTCCACACCAGGATGCCATTGCCTATTAGCAGAAATCAATCAATAGCTATGTTTCAGCTATATTTATTATTCTCGTCCCAAATTAGTAGAATTCAGAACAAGTCAACAATTATTACACCGGGAATATCTTCTGTTTAGTTTTTCAAAAGTATAAATATGGTTGAAATGAAAATTTTAGAGTTGACAGATAAGAAAATGCAATGTATGTGGCAAGCAAAATATAACAAAATTTAGAAGTTGATTTGTCCAAAACTGGCAAAACCACAGCAAAAATAATTACAAATGTAAATTAAACTGTACTTTTTTTTAATCTTTCACCCTTGTTCAGCTTTGTTTCTGAGGTGAGCTTAGACTAGAATGGGTCAAGGCTTCTATCAAGCAAATCCATCAATAATTCAGTACTCAATTCACTAAATATTTGTTAGGAGTTTTCAAAGTTTATATTCTGTTTTTAGTCCATGACCATATAATACATCGCCTTCACAGGAGAGACTGCAGATACCCTGATGGCTCTGAGGTACTGTAAGGAGCGGGGAGCACTCACAGTTGGGGTCACCAACACTGTTGGCAGCTCCATCTCTCGGGACACTGACTGCGGGGTTCACATCAATGCAGGGCCAGAGATTGGCGTAGCCAGCACAAAGGTATTTCATACTATTCCATATGCTGTTTTTTTTATAACTCACCTGTATATACTCTTACATTATATTGTCTACCCTACTAATTAAAATATTTTAACTTTAAGCCACTTTAAGCCTTTTCATAGGTTTAAGATTATTTCATATAAAAATGCAGGACCATTTAAAACAACACCTTACATGCAAGAGTTCACTGTATTTTCTTGACTTGGATGGGTGGGCAGTCCTGATGGTTTTGTGGGGGTGTTTTTACAGGCATACACTAGTCAGTTTGTGTCACTCATCATGTTCGGGCTGATGATGTGTGAGGACAGGATCTCCTTGCAGACAAGAAGAATGGAGATTATCAAAGGACTGAAGGTCCTGCCGGGTGAGTTTTCTTGCTTGGGATTGAGTGTTGGGACACTCTCCTCCTCAGATATTCAGTTCAAAATAGAAGACTGATAAAAGAGACTTTATGCTGTATATAATATGCTTTAGCATTATGCTATAGCTGTAATGATATAATGAAGTGTGCCGCAGTACTTGAGTACATAGTCGCTATATAAATCTAAGGAATTATTATCATTAAATCAGAGACTTGCATAAGCAAACAAAATACACATTAAATTCTCAATTTGATTTATTTGAGTGTTTAGAAGCTGGATAAAAAGTAAGTTGATTCAAAAGTCATAGTTATTAGCAATCATGATTGATTTATTTGGAAAAGTTTTTGCTTAAAATTCAATAAAGTATTTTCAGATCTTTGATAATATAGAACTATCACACTTAAAAAAGTGTGGGAGAAGTTATTTTTTTATTATTGTGATTATCACGATCCGAGTCTTCTTTTTACATGCAGAGCACATCAAGGAGGTCCTTAGCCTGGATCAGAAGATCAGGGACATTGCTGACGAGCTCTATCAGCAGAAATCACTTCTGGTCATGGGCCGTGGCTTCAACTATGCTACCTGTTTGGAAGGAGCCTTGGCAAGTTATTCTTTCTTGTTTTTTAACTTTCTGTCTGTCTGTTTTCTGTCCATGTTTTCCAATTTCCATAATCAGATTTCTTCTGAACACAGATGTGATATTGCATTCAGAAAGCGGCACTTTAATAATTGCAAAGCAGCATAATATATAAATGGGCTAAATGTTTTACTTAAATCTAAAATAAGCAAAAGTTCTATTTTCAGATATTTTTAATAAATTTCAATGTTTCCATTCTATTTATGCTTTTTGGAGTGATGTTTGTGCAGTTGTAAAAGAATTGTGGGTGTGCTTTGTTTTTGCAGAAAATCAAAGAGATTACCTACATGCACTCAGAAGGTATCCTGGCAGGGGAGCTGAAGCACGGGCCCCTGGCTCTCATTGACAAGCACATGCCTGTCATCATGGTTGTCATGAGGGACGCCTGCTACACCAAGTGCCAGAATGCCCTGCAGCAAGTGACTGCCCGGCAGGTATAGCAAAATAACATGCCTTCAATGCTGCGCAGCTCTGAATTTTGGTCTCAAAATCTATAGAAAATTAAATGCACTACACATTGAGTCTTATGTACTGAATAAAGATTAAACAGTCTGTGTTAACTATTTAATTCGTTTGATTTTAGTAAAACCACTGTCTTTACATCAGCATGTTGGTGTAATGCTCTGAACTATATATGTGTCAAAACAGAATTTTATTTTCTGTTCAAACAGGGACGCCCCATCATTCTCTGCTGTCAGGACGACCTGGAGAGCATGAAGAATGCCTACAAGACCATTGAGCTGCCACATACTGTGGATTGTCTTCAGGCCATTTTGAGTGTGATCCCGCTGCAGCTTCTGTCATTTCACCTGGCTGTGCTGCGTGGATATGATGTATGCTCATTCTGCTTTTTATTCTTCCTCTTTTAAACAAAATACAACTGTAAAACTGCCTGCTCTTCACCAACAAGTTTAGCTCTTTGTTCCTAACACTCATGTGTACCCATGTGTAAGCCAGTATGTTGGCATGCTAGAAAGTGTGTAACAAGCTACCCCTGTTAAAGTCTTCCTTTAAAGGTCTGGACACGCACATTGATTTAGTCCAGAAAATGTACTGAAATTCACACTTTATAGTGATGCTGTGTGAATTGCATAGTGCCTTGTCATGTTGTGGCTCACATTCTTGTGAGCGGAGCCAGAACTACTTCATCTCTATGAATCAAATCTTACAACAAGGGATCCAATTCTGGCCCTGAAAGGCCAGGGTGTCAACAGGTTTTCATTCCTATGTTCTTAAAGACTTCAAATTTAGTGACTTTATTACACTATCAGCAAGGTCTTTGGGATGTTTGAAGAGAGCTAACAAACCTGCAGACACACCAGCCCTCCTGGCTCAGGACTGGAGACCCCAGCCTTATGGAATTTACTCTTGTGACCAATTAATTATTTTATCTTTACTTTATGCTTCTATTGAATAAGGGTTTATACCAGTTCATATTGGGTGTTTAGCATTTTATCACATAAATCTAGCCACTAATGCACCCATTTACCTAATATCTACTTGCTGTAATGTACACATCATAAACTGTAAACAAAACTATCTTTTAAACTATTTCTTTGAAATGTTATTGAAACAATGTTTAACATTATTTCTCTTTAAATTTTAGGTTGACTGTCCACGGAATCTTGCCAAATCAGTCACAGTGGAGTAATATTCTTCAACAAACTGGAAATTATTGGAGGGAAGATAATGAAGAAGAACGTTTGCGGTCTTGGGTGTTTATATGTATGTTCATATGTTTATAGATATTTACATGTATTTATATATTACATAAAACTGAAACACAACAGACTATCATTGAAGTTTTCTAGGATCAGGCTTTTTCTCTATCTTCCAGCACTATAATTGATACAGGACTTACAAGGTTTGATCCAGCCAATGCAATAACTAGTACATTGACACTTCAATGTAGCAACACTATGCAGTTTTTAATTTACTTTGTGCCTTAACCTTATGTACTCCTGTTGCCATAGGAGTGATAAGGAAAAGAAAATGTGATGTTTACTTGTAGTTCCTAGATTGACATTTTATTAATACTGTGCAATATTTAATGTAAGAGGGCCAAATGTTTCTGGTTTTATGCAGATGATCTACATTTTAGGGGAATGAATTTGGGGAAGGATTTAATGTATTTCAGAATAGAAATTACATCCTAAATTAAAAGCAAAGCTATCTCATAACATACAGTATAACGCCTATATCCTCTGCTCTCAGTGGCATAAACTTTCACAGGTTCCAATCAATATGTAGCCGTACATCAGTCTGCTTTTTGGTACAATAATGGGAGCAAGTGTGGGCATGTTTTCTTGAGGATTTAAACATCAAAAGCAGTGGTCCACCCTTAAGCACATGGTGCTCTATAAAGCGGAGCTTCTGTACGATAGAGGCTTAGCCATGCTGTGACTCCCAAGGCTGTAACATTCTTTAACACTCTCCTCCACTACAACTAAAAGAGTCAGGTTGAACACCCCCAGCCTTAATTTCAAACCACTGTAGCAAGAGAAGGCCTGACTTGGTCTAGAATGAAAGTAAGTGCTTACTGTTTTCAGTCGATACACAGAGAGATGTGTATCGTCAGAAGATTCATATATGCAATAATTATACCAAATGAAGTGAAGAAACATCAGATTGCATGATCTATTGATCTTTTTCTGTATGTATTTTAATGTAGCTTTATTTATATCCAGAATATATGTGCTGCAGAGACCGTGGTGAGGAGGTATGAAACATGTCTTCTCATTTGACAACAGCCTTTGCTATAGTTTATTTGGCACAGGCAGTATTGTCACTGTAAAACACAAGTCTGCATTGAGCCCCAGATATGTATTCCAGTCTGCTAAATCTTTTAACAAAGATGTCTTAGTATCATGTGTTTTAGATTATTTATGAATTTATAAAAAAGGTAAATTATTTTTCCAGGCTTGCTAAAATCAAAGTGGTTTGTTATTGTTTACCAAAAGTACTTGACATGTATATTATTGTTATTGTGTTGTCATGCTACGTAAAACTGTGAGTGATGCTTTTGGGTATTTTTTTAAAGATGAAGATCAATGGCCTTTTAAAAGATATTTTATATGTTTTTATTATGGAGGACTTTCAAAATCTATGAATGTTTAGAAAAAGGCAAAATAAAATGTATGTTTAAATTGCCCTGGTTTGATATCTTTATGCTTGTCATAGAATTGGTTTAATTGGTTTGAACGTCCTTAAACAGACTGAGATTATTAACCAAAGTGGTATAGTTACATGTTGCCAGCACTAGCTACATATATACTGTATTTCCCTAAAATCAAGTAGAGGTATAAAGATGCAGCTCCTCACTAGACCATATTTACTTGTAATTAGTAACTGTAATTGGATCAGAAATAATCCCTATTAATTTAAGTCTTGTATTATTTATCGAAAGCCAAAAATACCTAATAGAGCGGGGGATCTTAAAATTAGATTTCAGAACCTCAGAAAAGTACAGGGTCCCCTAAAGAAACCAAACTCTGATTATGCAGATAAATCAGATGTGTTAGTTTTGAGCTGGAGTATTAATCTTGTGCAACTGAGACCTAGTTTCCTGTTTCCTGCTAATGGGTCTGCTGATAGTTGAAGCAGACCATCCCATTTTCTAAGCAGGTTGGCCCTTAATCATGGAGAGATCAACCCACAATCACTTGGACAGGGCATGCTTGTATCTGTTTTTGCTCTTTCCTTAATTTACAATTTTATTTTTTGAATGCATATGTATCTGGGTTCTTAACCAACCCATTCTGGCAATTATGAATAATTCAACTAAAATGACAAACACTGAGCAGCTGGTATTTATAAAATCAAATTGACCTGAACTTTTTCTCAAGGGGTAATATTAGAGAGCCAACAAATCAATCCTCTCACTGTTTCAAATGAAAGTGAAATAATGTACAGTATTTACCTAATGAGCTATAGACATAAGGTGCAGACTTTTGTTTTTTTTGTTGTCCATTGGTATATACACAAATGAGTATTCGTGCACACTTGAACTTAACACATTTATCTCAATGTACATATTTAAGGCACCTATATAATGACATTTTGTGTGTTCCCTATCATGGACTGGTGTCTGTGTGTCTGCACTATGATAGACTGGCTTCCCATCCATGGTATACCCTGCCATGTACCCATTTCTTGCTAGGATAGGATATGGCTCCCCCATGACCCTGGATTTGAAGAAGTTGTGAGAAGATGAATGGATAGATTTATTGACACACAGAATACAGAGAATTTATTTTTTCATCTAAATTCATCAGAACGGACATGGTATCAATTATAGCTATTTATCCAAATTACTGTTATATGCCCATTTTAACTCTAGTTTCATATGTAACATAAGGTTGGGAGGTATACTACTTAAAACTTTGAATAAATAAACAATGCCTGCGTTCTGCCATGGGACTGTTGTCATGATATCCAAACACTTTCTAACTGCTTCTTCAAATTCAGGGTTGCAGGGGTGTTGGAGCAACTCAAAATCTTGGAAAGCAATGACACAAGGCAGGATACACCCTAGACAGGAAGCCAGTCCATTGCAGGGCATGTGTCATCAGTTTTTGTACTTAAGTACAGTATTCCCAATTAAACAATTTAACCTTTTCAGTTGCATAACAAAGCAGTGGAAAGACCAATTCCTCCAACCAGCCAGACCAATTAGAAACCACTTATGTGGGAAGCCTACCAATTTGATACATAAACATTTAAATAAATCTAGTAGGTAATTCATACAAATGTGCCTTATACTGAATCAATTGTATAATAACTTCACCCCACATTAATTCAAATTGTGTATGTGTGGCTTTATACTGAACACTTTCTACACTAAACACAAAATCTCAAAATCATGTACAGTTATTGTAAAGTTTTCGTTTACACAGATATTTACGCAGGCAACACAGTGGTGCAGTGATTAACATTGCTGCCTCACAGAACTGGGGCCCTAGGTTCAGTTCTGGACCTAGGGTGCTATCTGTGTGGAGTTTGTATGCCCCCTCCCTGTGTTTGCGTGGGCTTTTTCCAGATGTTCCTGTTCCTCCCACAGTCCAAAGACATACTGGTAGGCTAACTGGGTTTGGGGTATAATTAAGCCCAGGTTTGAGTAAGTGTGTGTTTGTGTCTCCTCTGGGATGCACAGGTATCCTTGTAAACTGCCTTGCATCCCTTGCTCACTAGTTTAGACTTCGGCTCCTCCGTGATCCTGAATTGGAAGAAACCGTTAGAAAATGGACGGGTGGACGATGTACTTATAATAATGATGATATTATTATTATAGCAGTAGGAAAAAAATGCTGCCCGAATACTTTTTGGAATTGTACAACTCACGGAATTCAATCTTGATGGAGATACTTTATTCATATTAATACTGATGTATCGCTTATATTTCAAGTTTTCGAGTGATTTTCCATTTCCAGTGATGAGTGTATACAGCATATTGCATTTCCAGCAGCATTTTATAGAAACAGTGTATTCATTTTCAATTCAGAAAGCCACCGTCTACAGAGGTACTACAATGTGGATCCCTAGGATTCGAAAGATTTTTTTATTGTTAAAACTTTAAAAGTTGTACTTTAGAAAGAAGGGTAATCAGGTCGCATTGCAACAAACCCCCAGCAGGCAGCCGCCAGACAGGCTTAAACGATCGCAGCTCCCACTGGCTTTGCTGACGCGCCACACTCTAGCTTTGGCGTGATGACGTCACGCATATTTCCTGCCCGCAGTCGGGTTGTTGTGCCGACAAGTCCCCGCCCCAGTCATGCCATTGACAGGACCTAGAAATCCGGCATCTAGGAAGAAAGACCGTGTATTTTCGCGGCTGACAGCTGAGTTCTCCATTTGACGCATCCGCCTTGGATACCTTGGATTTTCGTGAATGTTGAGCCCCGGAGCCCCTCTTCTTGGGTTTGTCGTGCATGGGAGTGCTGTGGGGAGAAAGCGAAGTGAGAAGGTAGGTGTAATTAAATTTAGCTCGCCTGCTTGCATGCGCTGCTCCTGCTGCAGTTCTTACCAGAAGTGAAAGGGGAGGCGGGTGCAGACCGGGCCCTTGAGTCAGACCGGGGGCTTGTAAGTTGCAGAATTGGCCGAATATTAACCGAGAAGCGGAATTGACACGACAGGTCCTCCCTGCTGTAGGATATTTCGCATATCTGGCCTAGGCTGTAATTTGTGGTCTTACTCTAAAACACAGGCTGTTGGAGGGAGTATGTAATGATGCAATGAAACTACTCCAGAATGACTCATTGGCTGCCAGCTGCAAAAAGAAAGCCTAAAAACTGTCGGTATTTGATTAAATGATGGAGTACGGGAACTCTATGTGCCTTCTAGGGCGGAATTGACAGCTTCATCGTTCCCAGGAGGCTTTAAAATAAAAAAAATACAGAGACAGATGATTTTTGTTTAAAGCCGATGGTGTTGCATGGCTGCTGGAAGCTGCAATATTTGAAGTTAGTACCTAATGAAAAGGCTACGGGGAAGCTGTGCTCTGTTGCCAAATACTGGAGGGATTTCTTTTATTTAAAGACCATAGCAAATTACTTAGACATTAGACATCCATTGCTTTTGAACCTGCAGGCAGTTAACACCCCAGGTTATTCGCCCACATACAGAGCAAGAATACCTGGCTATCTTAGGGGCACGCCCATTTATTTAAGACTGTTTCAGAGACTCTATTATTCTCCATTTATCCTGTTTCAAGTGCTACTTAATTGGCAATGTCCTTCTAACTACTTCCTCCTCGGATATACGGGTAATACTCGGTGTGGAACCTTACAATAGTCTGGAAACCGGCTTATCGTGGCCAGGCCTGCATTCATGTTGCCATTTTTCATGATTCTACACTGCCTTTTTTTTAGCTTCCTTCTCTTATTACTGTTCTGTCACGTAAGTGCGCTGTTCTTCTTTTTACTGGTTGGAATGTTTGAGCACCTACTGTGCTAAAAAACTATAAGTATCATCATTATATTTTTAACATAAAGACTTGTTTTCAGAAATCTGGACTTCAGCTGATGCTTTGAGGTGATGCGACGCTTGGTCCTTGAATTTGCAAAACTATGAATTATCCATTACTTTCCATCACTTCAGACCGGTTTAACTAAATGTGTCACTACTAAACACTCCTCTTCTATAAAATTCCTGCTCTCCTTGGGTAGTTTAGAAACTCTGCTAGCTGTGAACGGGAAGGTGGCTGTTTTTTTTGTAGGAACAAACGTTATCATTTTTTGTATAGAAGCAGCGGTTGAAATCACAGTTTGTGAGCATTATGTAAAGTACAATATATTATAAGGATGACATTGCAACATTTTGTTTCATGCTGACTAACATTTGCTGTCTGCATTTCATTTTAAAGGGTCCATACCAAAGAGGTAAACATACCAAAGATAAACATTGTTACAGTATATTGGTACTTTTAGGTTTTATAGGATGTGACATACCTGAAGTGGTGTTTTACATGTACTGTAAGTATACAATACAGTATACCAATGTATTATTAAGATTGCTTTACAATCTTGTCAGTTTCATGTGCAGTAGAAAATCAGCTGAACGTTTCATGAAAGGTCTTTTGGCATGTAATAGTGAATCAGAGGAGTTTTACATGTAGGATTATACCATGGCGCAGTAGTGAACATTGTTGCATCGCAGGGCTGGGGCCAAGGATTCCTTTCCAGATTTGAGGTGCTATTGTGTGGATTTTATAATGTTTGCGTGGGTTTCTTTTTACTCTAACAACGTAAATTGGCTTTTGGGAATATATTTAATTTCCAGTGTGTACCCCACATTACGCCTGCTGCTTGCCAGGATTGTCTCAGGGTTCCCTGTGACCCTGAATTGGAAGAAGTGGTTAGAAAATGTACCTGATTTACCTGTATTTGCTTAACTTTCATAAATGTGTTCTACAGTACCACATACAGTAGTACTATTAAATAAAGTCTCATGCTCTATCCTTCCCAAGTTTTTTTTTAAATAATCTATCTAGTGTTGCCAACAGCCATATCACTCTGCAACTCACAACTGGAAACCCACTGAAGCTAAGCAGGTGTGAGCCTGGTCAGTACCTGGATGGGAGACCTCCTGGGAAGAACTAAGGTTGCTGCTGGAAGAGGTGTTAGTGGGGCCAACAGGGGGGCGCTCACCCTGTGGTCTGTGTGGGTCCTAATGCCCCAGTATAGTGACGGGGACACTATACTATAAACAGGCACCATCCTTCGAATGAGACGTAAAACTGAGGTCCTGACTCTCTGTGGTCATTAAAAATCCCAGGGTGTTTCTTGAAAAGAGTAGGGGTGTAACCCCGGCGTCTTGGCCAAATTTCCCATTGGCCCTTACCAATCATGGCCTCCTAATAATCCCCATCTATGAATTGGCTTCATTACTCTCCTCTCCTCCCCACTGATAGCTGGTGTGTGGTGAGTGTTCTGGCGCACTATGGCTGCCGTCTCCTCATCCAGGTGGATGCTGCGCATTGGTGGTGGTGGAGGGGAGTACCCATTACCTGTAAAGAGCTTTGAGTGGATTGTCCAGAAAAGCGCTATATAAGTGTAAGCAATTATTATAGAGTTCTTTCCACAAGTGTCCTTTTTTCCTGTCATATCGAAACACTTCTGCTCAGCAAGAGCCCATGTCTGTTATGCTACTGTCTCATTGCTTTGCATTTCACTTATTAAAAGCTTCATCATAACAACTTTGCAATACTTCAGCTTGAGATAATGCATTTTCCATTTTAATAAAACGGAAGAAGAATGCTGATGTGTTTGATTTTTACTGGATTGGTAAACTACACTGCAAATTACATGGGGCCCATTCAAGACTAGATTAATTGCTACATTATATGATACAGTGCAAATAAAATGCACAGTTCGGAAAGATTTATTCTTATTCTGGAATGATGTCTTGGCCGCAAGTTTGTGAAGAACTTGAATGAATATTTGATGTCTGTATGGTTAACAGAATAGCTGTTTGAACGGTTTTCTCTCATGTAGGTTTATTAGGCATCTTATAAGAGACTATGAGAACAATTTTTAAAGTGGAACAATCAATTACACCATTCAAATAGTCCTGCACCCAAGTGTATGCTGTGGTTTTTAAAAGAATGACAGATGAGTTTTGCCAGTCATTTGGTTTGGAAAGTTGAAGGGCTTATCTGCTCTATTAAAGCTGTTTAGTGTTTCCTAATTTGAAATGGAGATTAAATTATTTCTTGCACAAGTATAGCATTTGTCTCTGGAAGAGCTGTCAGTGGGGTCAGCACGGGCCACTCACCCTGCGGCTTATGTGAGTCTTAATGCCCCAGTATAGTGACAGGGACACTATTCTGAAAAAAGGTGCTGTCCTTTGGATGAGATGTAAAACCGAGGTCCTGACTCTATTGGGTTATTAAAAATCCCAGGGCGTTTATAGAAAAGAGTAGGGGTGTAACCCCAGCGTCCTGGCCAAATTTCCCATTGGCCCTTGCCAATTATGGCCTCCTAATAATCCCCATCTATGAACTGTCTTCATCACTCTGTTCACCACCCCACTAATAGCTGATGTGTGGTGAGCGGTCTGGCGCACTATGGCTGCTGTTGCATCATCCAGGTGGATGCTGCACATTGGTGGTGGTGGAGGGGATCCCCATTGCCTGTACAGCGCTTTGAGTGGAGTGTCCAGAAAAGCTCTGTATAACTGTAAGCAATTATTAGTCTCATACCTTAGGATTCTAAAGCACTTTACCTATCGGAGGTGATGCATTTTGCTCACTAGTTAACAAATAAAATGTTTATGGTTTTTTTTAAAGGGCCTTTATATTGTGTAATATTGACTGCCTGTAATTTACAATTACCAGTCATAAAGCCTAAACTCAGGCAGATTCAAGCAAGTCTGATAAACAAGGGTTTTGGTGCCATGTCTTGTTCAGTCCTCTGTGGACACTGTCTTTCAGCAGTGAAATTTGTTTCATTTCAGCAGAGTCTTGCAGCTGTCAGAGCTTGTTTTACATCTACTTTTGGCCATTAAAAGCAGAATTAAAATTATAACCATCAAAGATATGACAGCAACATATCCAGTGAACATTGATTAGAAAGCAATTTAGGGTTAATGTATCATACTGTATTACAGTTGCTAGTTTGTAAAAGTGGGAAGCTGAGGTGAAATGTGGAATATATGTACATTTAAAGTCAGGAAAGATCAATTCTTAGAAAAAGGCATTTATAATTGTGTAAGGCCTGCATGTCTGAAACTGTCTGTTTACATTTTCTATAAATGTGACTTTATTTTCCAGCTGTTATCATAAACATACGCTCCTGGCAGATTAAAAGCATTTAGAATATAAAGTAACTTGTTGTATTGGTATTTATGTTATGTATGAGTTTTAAGCGTGAAAGATGGTAGCCAGGCTAATTTAATTTTTTTTCTGGTTCAGTCCTGCTTTGCAATGTTTAATTGCAAAATTATAGTCCAATCATTTGCGATTAGTCTGTGCTCATTCAAAAATCACTGTATGGTCCAAAGAAAAATAAAGCCAACACCAGTTCAGCTCTATCAGATCTAGTTGTTTTTCAGCCCAACTTCTAATGCTTGTTTCCTGCTACATTTCCATCTGCTAGTTTTTTTTTAAGATTTCATGTTTTAGTGTTGATATTGTCATAAACAGAATATTGAGATCAGGCTGCATTTGGAACACACATATTCCTGTTTGTGGAAAACAGCATCTGTCATGGTTTCACACCTGGGCCTCCTCTTTCTCAGCTGATTGTATTTTAGTTTATAAATTAAATAATTGTAATTTACATGGGCATTTAAATAAGAAAGTAATAGGACTTTCCTCTTTGATTGTTAGCTTTAAAATATGTGGTTGAAAAATTAGATTTCTCTTCTTAGTTTTAAAAGTTAATTTTTCTTACTTGGATTTTTATGTTTTATTGAATTCCTCATGGATATAATTCTAACAGGTTTAAAATTGGGACAAATATTATC